CCTACACATCTGGAAGGTGTGAAATTAGGGAAGACATGCTTCAGCTGTTTTGCTTTGAAATGACTCACGCCCACAGCTGCATGTAAGGGTTCTGTGCTATTGTTTCAAGAGTAGAGCTGCCGAAGAATTCTTGAATGTTAAAGGGTAGATAGATTGTTAGCAAATTATACCTTTTAACTTAGCAAAACAGAGTTGGGAGGAAGAACCCAGTTGCTATTGCCAAAGTTGATCGTTTAAGTGCTTCCGTAGAAAGATATAATTAAAAGGGAGTTATGTGCAACAGTGATCGCTTTGAGCCAAGATCCATGTTTAAGCTAACATATTGCTAACATGCTAATGCTTGTTATTAGTATTACAGATAATGCTGCTTCCTGACATCTTGCTTTCTTAATTCCATGGCATTTTAAGGAATTTCTCTCACAATAACAGAAATAGCTCTATATTACAGATAACGCCAGACAAGATTGTTGTGATGCATATTCTGTGGATGGTTGCTTTTGAAAACTGTCCAGAAACTTTAGCTGATGCAGAATGCAGTCGCTGGATTGATAACTGTGGTTGACCACTGATACTGTGTTATACCAGTGTTAGCAGAACTTTGCTCACTGCTAGTTTGCTTTCAGGATCAGTTTCAAACATTTGGCAATGACTTCCAAAGTCTAAAGGACCACATGGACAGAACGGCATTTATCATTTATCTAAAGCCTGCCAATTTCCACACAAGCTTGCCCAGCAGCAAAGGTCCTCCCAAAGACCCTTCACTGGATTCACAGGGAGGTCTGGTGCCTTTTCAGTGGCATCCAAAAAAGTTCCTTTTCAGTGGCGATGACCAAAGTATGGAACTCCCTCTCCAAACCTGTCTGCCTGGTATCATAGAAGGGGTATAGCGCCATACCGGGACACATCTTCTTAAGGCCACAGGTCCCAGATTCAGCCCTTTGCCTGGCCAGGCAGGGCAGGAAAACCCTTGAGAGCCAGGGCTGACAACACTGGACTAGATGGACTCCTGCTCTGTCCCAGTCTAAGGCCTGTTCCAATGTTACTGTTGTCTTTAAGGTAGAAGACAAAATCCACCCTATCTTCTCATGCCTTTTGCGACCTTTAATGAAAATGGAATATTAACTGCCTTTTCATCGCCTCGTTATTCTGTTTTTAACGCCCGGTTTAGTAGACAAGTTCACATGGCAGAACAGCCCACTTTGCAAATAAGAGATGCAGAGTGGGCTGTTCGTGCAGGAGGGTGCAGTGCACTTGACAGAGAATTGGGCTCACTGCAGTTCTTCCCCCCACCCACAATCTTCCCACAGTTATCCCAATCAACCCTACAGTGACACCCTTCTGGTCTGCCGCAATCACGTTCCCTTTTGTGTTGCTGTCCCTCCCCCCTGTTCACGCATCTTTCTTCTGTCTTTATCAGAGATTGCGAATGGCAATCCTTGATTTGACAGCTGGTGACAGCTTCTTCAAACTGCTCAAGTGGTGCACTGGAGGGACTGCCACTGGTTTGTCACCCTGTTTTTTTTTTTTTAAATGGTTCCCCAAATATACACATGTCCTTTCAAATTGAATCGGACTTCCACATGGCCAAGGATTGTTGAGTAAAGCAGGGGACCCTCTTGGGCATTGACCACGGGGGGGGGGGGGGGGCTGCCAAGAGCTTCGTTTCCAAACAGAGTTTTTGACAGTTCTCAAAAGCTGAGCTGTCAAGAGAAACCAAAGCTCTGAATAATCTTTGTGCATAAAAAGGGCATGGGCACAATCTCTCCCCCTTCATGATGAGATCCTTAAAGACCTGCCCCCTCTCAGGATCTTCTCAGTTTCCCACCCTTTCCCAAGTTTCTGGCTCTTAGGATGGTGGAAAAGTATGAGCCACCCCTTTTATAGCAGCTAACTGTCAAAACTCTACCTCCTTTCAAAAGGTTTTGTGTGTGTGGTTCTTTGTTTGTTGTGGTGGGCAGGGCTCCCGTGGCTTTTTCCCATGTACCTCCATACCTGCATCTGGGACTCCAAAATATGTATATTATTTATAACCTTTGAAAATCCATTCCATGGGATGAGCACTTCCATCAGGCAGGGTCCAATTAACCAGCTCGCTCCATCCCTGTCGGTATCCTAGTGAGAGGTCTGGCCACAAACAAGTTTGACAAAGTGCCAACACACTTTGTTGCATCAGATTGTGCTTACCAAGCAACCACTGTGTAAAACCCAGCCCTGTGCCTGGAAGTACATCAAAAAAGAAAACTACCACAGCTTGGCTGCACAAGGTGTACTTTCCTTTCCAGAAAATCATTAGATGACTCTATTTGTTGTTATGATAAATTTGTATATCTTGATAAAGATGGAGGCGATTGCACACAGTGAAGATATTTTTAAAGAACATTGGAAATGCATTAATCAGTGTTACTACAATGAATGCTAAATGATGGTTGAAATAGCTTGAAACGAAGGCATGTCACATACCACACTTCATGGCGCATGCCTCTCAATATATCCACTTTATTTTTATTCCAATTACCAAATGGAACTTCTCAAGAAGCCTGTCTGGTAACTGGAGAAATTTATCCTCACTGGAAGTGTCTCACTTAACACATCTGTGCAACAGCATGCCCAGTTATCACCTCATCTGAACAGATGGAGGCACGGACGGGTGTTCCACTTCTCCTTTGGCCTCTTCCCGATTCCCCTTTCTGCAGGCATTAAGGAAGGTTTCAGTATTGCTTCTTAAGAAGCATTTAGCCCTTCAGACTGTCAACAGAAATCAGTGTATTTGACGGCACCTCTACTGAAGAGGTGTCTGAACTAAGAGGTGCTTGACAATGCAAAGCTCCATTCAATGGGTATGGCTTTGGAAAGCATGCAAGCACAGAGGCCAGGTCTTAGGGTGGCTGGGTGGCCTCCTTTACAGAGAACAGTCCTCTTTTTAAAGGGCTGCTAGAAGGTGTTTCATATTTGAGAAGTGCTTGGTCCTAAACTGGTTTAAAGTAAAACAGAAGATGGGGAAAGCAGGAGGGGCCTTGAAGTAGTCCGTGCACAGTTAACATCTGGACCTTGGACTAAGTAGGCATGCAGGTCACCTTGTTGGTCTTCTCCACTTTGGTGAACTTTCTTGTATTTCTGTTGAAATTTCTAAATTCAAGTGCATGTTCACTTGAATTTGCATATGCAACTGTACTGCAAGTTGGTGTCCTCTTTTTTGGTGATGCATTTCCTTCCCTGGCAATGCCTGTGTGACCATCCTGCATCCACCTGCTACTTAATCTTTTAAAATTGAACATCATATATTTGTAGTCACACAATTAGCATGACTGGCTTGACCCTTCTCCACAGTTCTGACTGTCCCACCATCTTTAATGTGACATGGAATAAACTCTCTGGGCCAAATTGCACCTCCCCACTCCAGCTGCTTAACTTTTTGCATCTCTCTTCCCCTGTGCTTTTCATTCATCCGAGGACACTTCCACCATCTAATTTCTAATGAGGAAAAACGCATTTGGGAGGAAAGCTGAAGGGAGAGAACGTGTCTGTGCCTCTTGAATGCATGGGTCTTTAGTAGCTAAAATCAGACAAGTTTGGGGCAGTCTTGTATATAAGCATGTGGAATTGCAGCTATGGTTGTGACAATCCAGTGGTATAGAATTCTCTTCTGTCCAACCAACTTCTTTTAGTTAATTTTAAATTGATTTTTCATTGTGAGTTTCAAATATCAAACACAAACCAAACAAAAAGAAAGAATCTATTTCAATGAACACATTTATTGTTTTTCTAATTTCTTTTTATCTCCATGCTATCCAATAGCCAAAGCTCTCTGGGAGGTTTGTAGCATCTTCATGCATGGCAAAATATACAGTTGTTATTAGGAATAGTTCTGCAAAGGCATCCCAGATACCCATTTATTTGTAAATTATGCTTTAAAACAACACATTCCAAAATCAAAATCTTCAATGAATCCTAAATCCACAGTATTATCAATAGTGGCTCTTGCCTTTCCAATGTTGTAATATTAGTCTTTTCCTTCCCAAAGGATGAGAATCCATTTGGGTTGACCTTGCATTAAGTTCCAAAGGACAGGCAGATAGTTAAAAGGAGCATGCATGTCCATAAATATGGAAGAACTTTCCATCACAAAATTTGTCTGTGCTGTTATCTCCTCTCAGAAAGAAGCAGCCATTGGGTTTTGCCCAAAGTGAGTAATGAAAGGTGCTAGCTATATTGTACCTCCAACAATTGGCTGATTTAGATAAAACCTCGTTGAAAAGAGATGGCAGTATCCAATATGCATCACTGACCTCCCATCCTAGTTGCTGTGAGCTGACAGCTGGTTAGAGGCAGCATATACACCATTACAGGTCTTCCTTTTCCCCCAGGGTAAATAGGACTGCTGTTAATAAATGTATTGTTTTGGCAAGCTACTCAGACTACTTTATTAGTGGGTAGAAAATGCATGCAATTAACAAAGGAATAATAGATTGCTTGTCAGAATTAACATGTAACCCTGTATAGATGGTAATATATAACCATCCAACATATTGAGGGGTACTTATTTATCTATTTATTTGGGGTATTTCTAGGCCGTCCAATCACTCTGAGTCTCTGGACGGCTCACAACAAAATCAATAAATACAACAGTGAAAATATAAATATCATCATATCATAAATACCCCAACAATAATAAAACTAAATAACCCACGACTGAAATAAAAATAATTAAAATCTATTAAACATTACAATATTGGGTAAATAAAAAGGTCTTGACCTGGCACCGAAAAGCATATACTGATGGCGCCAGGTGGGTACTGTATATATGCCTGGAATGTATCCATTGGGAAGTTGCAACAAGTTCCAGCATTCCAACATGTGTCCAGGCAGCACGTCAGATGCATCTATTACTAGCTCACATTCCCATCATCACAGAGATTAACTGATAACCATTTGGGATAGCCATCTTATTTACCAGATTATTTGGCCCTTTGATGCTAATTGTGTTCTTACTTTAATTCTAGAAACCTTGGAAAATCTGGATTAAGAGTATCGTGTTTGGGACTTGGTAAGTATGTTATGCTGCTTTGTGTGGGAGACAAATCCTAACAATTCGCTTATTTGCAAGGCAGTGTTGAGGTTAGTTTTCTGTCTTTTCTTTTCTAGAAGTTCTGCATCATTTATTTCATGTTTGTAGGAGTATTACATGCATTTTTTCATGCAAACAGAAATTTGGTCTTCAGCAATATAGAAAGTGAATGAATGAAATAATTCCACCCCTCCATTTTTACCACTAAATTCTACGGGAGCATTATGAAATTCTCATATGATAGTAACCATGAATCTTGAACATTCATACCTAGATGAAATTTATCTATTATGATAAAGGCTGCAAATGGTTGATATACATAAGACATTTATTTCACATTTTGGTAGTAAATTATGAATCAAATTATGTAAACTGAGGTAAGCAGCCTTGGGGCCTAGGTTCATCTGGCAGCTGGAGAACCTGTACTGGGCACCGCCACAAAATGGTTGCCATGGCAAAGAACAAAAGGACAAAAGTACAGAAAAGTTCCTACAGCTCCCAGCATTCCTCAGCCAGCCGGCCACTTGTAAGGTCCTTTTCTGTCTAAACATGCATAGGATTGCATCATTAATGATTTGCCTTTTAATTACTGAGGCTGCCATATTTTAAACACTGGAAATGAAATTTTCACTGTGATGTTTTTTTCCCAAAGGAAAGGGAGAGGCCGTAGTTTAGTGGCTGTTCATTGGCTTTGAGCACTGAATGTGTCAGGTTAATTTCTGGCTCGGAAGGAGTTGTGCCCCAAAACACAGGCAGCCACTGCTAGATAATAGAGGTAGCATGGCCCTGGCCCTGGCCCTGGTTCTGATCTGATCTGCAGAGCTTCTATGTGTTGTTTACTGATGGCAATTGTTTTATGGGATATCTTACTGTTCCATTGTAAATATTGGTGATTTTGATTGTATGCCTTAAAAAGAGTCAGTGTGATGTAGTGCTTATAGGCTTGAACTCTGGTCCCCAGTTAGCCATCCAGCTCAGGGGGTGACTTCAACCAGTACCTGGCTCTCAGCCTAACCAACCAGACAGGATCATTGTGGGAATGAAATGGAGAGGAGGAGTTCATCTAAGCCACATTGGCTTCCTTTCAGGCTGGGCAGGAACAGAAAGATTATAAATACAAATAAATGCTATTGAACAGTTTGAGATTGTTCCACCCTTAAAGCTGGCCTAAAATATTTTAAATACATAAAATAAATAAATATGGCTGTACCCATATGCAGGGTGGACCTGAAACTTTCCACAACTTCCTTCTTTTTTGGGGAAGACCCTAGTTCTAGCTTTACGGTATCACAAAAGAATTTTTGGTATCGTTCCCATTAAGCTTCCAAAAGCCCCAGTTTATGTGCATGCCAAATCATTAGAGTATTGTATCAGCATCATTTACTCATACTTTACTCATTGTGTCTAAATTGAAGACCACTCTAAAATTCCTGCTTCTGGAGCGTGTTTATAAAGTAGAGGGTGTTCATGAAAACCTTCCCTGTGTGGAATCTGGCAGAACTCACATACCTCACTGTGTTGCTATGAGACATAACCTTTTTAACACTGTGGGATCCATAGATGACACTGTGTAATAATCAAATATGACAGTTTCCAGGCACCATGCAACCTGAAATCAGATTAATTTGGAGAAAACACACCAAATTATATGAAATGAGCAAAGAGCCCCAAAGTCTGTGGGAATGTCATTGGAACCTGTCCTCCCAAAATCTTGATTTCTTGAGATGACCTGTGTGCTTGTTCAGTCTGCTGTCTACTTGCCTACTCATGATGCGTCCAAAGAACAGCCGCAGTTCTGCCATTTTTGTCTCCAGAGCAAGTTCTGGATTGATTTGATCTGGGGCCCACTTGTGTGTGTTCTCTGTTCACAAAGCTACCTCCAGTGCTGTTTCTAATGGCCAGTTTTCTTCCTGTCAGCTTTCACCACAGTGCAGCTTTCACACTCATACAATAGCGATCAGGATTAGCCAACGCAGAAACCTCCTTTCCTGTTCTTCTACCTCTCTTTCCTTTTCAGCATTTTGGTTGCTATCCTTCTGTCCCAAAGATAGGGGCACAGAATGATAAAAATGTGGGAATTTCCAGCTGACACATTTGGGGATCTCTTGGTATAGCTGTAGATCCTCTGTTCATAGTCAGCGTGGCATAGAGAACCTCTCTCTTTGCTGTGTGATCTCTCCCAAACCCAGTGTTTTATGCATGTACAGCTCTGGTCATGGTGAGAACTAGCAGGGAAATATTGATTCAGAGCAGACAAAAGCTGTCCTTAGGCTGTTCCCCTGTTTTCAAGGACTCAAATGTAAGAGGAATTGGGGGGTTTGTTTTTAAGATGTAAATTTATTTATTCAGCACCATAAAATAAGAGCACTGTTGTTGCTTCAGTTGAATTTAGAAAGTGCAACAAATGGCTACTTGCCATGTAATTACTAAGCAATGCATTTATACCCTGGCTTTTGTTATTCTTGTGGGGACCCCAAGGCAGCTCACATCGCTTCATTTTATCCTCACGACTGCAATCTTGTGAGGTAGGTTGGACTGCAGATGTGGGACTGACCCAAAGTCACCCAGTGAGCTTCATGGCCAAGTGGGGACTAGAACCGAGAACTCCCAACACTCCAACCATCATACCACACTGGCTCTATAAAAAGAAGAGGGAGCAGGGTGATCATCATCATCATCACCAATCAAAGAACTTCTTCTTGTTGTTGTTAGTCGCGAAGTTGTGTCCAACCCATCACGACCCCATGGAAAACATTCCTCCAGGCTCTTCTGTCCTCCACCATCCCCCGGAGTCCACTCAAGCTCACACCGACTGCTTCAGTGACTCCATCTAGCCACCTCATTCTCTGCCGTCCCCTTCTTCTTTTGCCGTTAATTGTTCCCAGCATTAGGCTCTTTTTCAGTGAGTCCTTCCTTCTCATTAGGTGGCCAAAGTATTTGAGTTTCATCTTCATGATCTGGCCTTCTAAAGAGCAGTCAGGGTTGATCATCTCTAGGACTGACCGGTTTGATCTCCTTGCGGTCCAAGGGACTCGCAGGAGTCTCCTCCAGCACCACAATTCAAAGGCCTCAATTCTTTGGCGAGCAGCCTTCCTAGATGGAATGTACTTCCTAGATGGACTTATGGAATGAGCTCCCCAGAGAGGTTCACCTGGTGCCATCGTTATTTGTTTTTTGGTGCCAGGCCAAGACCTTTTTATTTTAATTAATTGTTAATTTATTTATTGGTTTTATTTATTGCCTGGATGTATCTAATTTTTATATTTTTGTATTGTTATTTATTTGCTAGAAGCCGCCTCGAGGCTTATGTGAATGGGGCAGCATACAGGTTTCCCAAACAAATAAAAAAAATAATAGATCAAAGATCTAGTGGCTCAGATGCCCAAGATGGAGAGAAAGAAGGCATCCACGGTGTGGACTTGCACATGCCCTCTCCACGGGTGATCTCTTGCACCCAGCCTTTCACTGCATTCCACTCTGAAGTAAATTTAGGATGCAGTCCTATGCATGTTCAGAAAGAAAAAAGTTCTACAACTAGCAATGTGTGCAGGATTCAGTTTTGGGGGTGGGAACCTACTGGGTTTTCTCAGCTTCTCTCTCTGCCCTATGCCCAACTTAAAGTACAACTGTTGTGTATTACATTACAGATGTGCTGGCATCACTAGCAAGGCAGCTTGTGCATACGTCACCTGTTCTCTGCACACCCACTACACAAACAGAGTTCTGCTCCTATACCATAACTGGAGGGGTTTGTGTACATAGTGCGAGAGTGATTCAGTGCAAAGAAAAGCACTGCTAAAGTTCCCTAGAATTTCTGAATTTGATCTCAGCTCAGCTCTTCTCCCAGGCCAGCATGGAAAGAAGTCTGGTCAGCACATGAGAGTCAAATCGCAGGCAGACCTTTGCATCACTACCTAAAACTCTTAGCGTTCCCCAGCCAGCCATATTGGCTGGAGGAAGTTAGTATTTGTAAAAGGTTTTTACTGTCTAAACATACATAGATTTGCACCTTAATTGCATTTTTATTTCCTTTTACCTAGTGATCAATTAGGAGTGTCAAATATTTATGGTTTGTATCTAAGCCCAGAGGTGTTTTAGTATCAACATATTTAACAGCAAGCTGGAAGCGTCTGATGTTTGGGAACAGTTTGCTACGTTCACTGTTCAAAGAAAGAAATGCTTAATCCATTAATCGTTCCAAAGAAGCTTGGTATAGGAACTGCTCTTATCATGTTCTCCACCCCCAGATACTGAGTCACACAGTAGGAGGGTGGGAGAATTGGCTGCAGTAGCATGGGCATGAATTCTCTTGAATTATTTCTGTGGTACTCTGGTACCAACTGCAATGTTGAGGCAAATCACATAACCCATGAGAAGGAGGTGAATGCTGCTGAAGCAACAGTGAAGCACTGTTGGAAGTGTTTTATTTTTCACATGGACCTTGGGTACGTTTGAGTGCCTTGTTTGTAAAGGTAGGGATACTCAAAGTTTTCATTCGGTTCTTATCCCCAAGCTGAACTGATACAACCAACAAAATGTGAGGAGTGGAATACAGCAATCCTTCAGATTTTGCAGTTCTCCAAATTTTATAATGCATTTGTCATTTAAAGCAAAATGCCAACATTTTATTAAAGGGTATATTTTAGGAAAATGCTCATTTACAAGTATGCATTTTGTGTCGAATTACATAAAAATGCCTATTTAAATGCACATGTCTGTATTTCCCGCACACACAAATAGTTAAAACACAGTTTCACATGTAAACTGGCACAGAATAGAATTTTCCTTGTGACTCTTTTGCTTTCGGGATCCCTCTAGGAAGAGAGGGCTCTCACTGCAATTCAAATATCTGAAGCTACCAATTTTAAGAGAAAACAAGAAAATATATAATAGACATTTCAGATGGTTCTCTACTGTTGGTTTGGTTTTAGTCCTATGTTATTACCATGTAGCTCGTAACAGGATTAACAACAGTTCTA